TTAAGAACTACCTCCAACCCTCACATTAAATTTAGCAGAAACAACAGAGAACATGTAAAAACCACTCTGTGGAACCTTCTAAGAGATGCAAAAGGGTGATTTTCCATTGTAGACAAAAAGAAAGAAAAGTACACGGCTCAACGGGGCTGACAAGGGGGCATGACACACCAGGACAGTCAATTTGGTCGTGGGCTAATCCTATGCCTCCATCATCTTAGCTAGTGACAACGTGAATGCTACACATCATGGAAGAGGGAACTATCGCACAAGAAAGAAACGAGCAGCCTCAAATCTCACATGGCTACCTATATGCTCTATCTCTCATTCTGATTCCCTGAACTAGATGCATAAAGGACTGTCAAGAACAAGTGATCAATCCAAGTCACAGTTGGTAAGCAAATAGTTGAAAATCTGAACTCCTACACAATTCTACTACACGTCTCAGTCATCATCATAGGTTGTCCTAGTTATAATCAAGCTGTCACGCAATAATTCGAAGCCATAATATTCATCAATTAACTCCACAGTGCCAATATAATCATGCAAACAATGATACTTGGAGCCCTCAAATCTCAAGATTTGGACAGCGGACTAGGCTCCAATCACACAAATATAGATTCCAACCGATACAAAGCACCCCCCCCCCACACACACACACACTTAAGCACGACATTGCCCTCAATGGAGCAGAGGGAGAGATAAGGGGAACGATGTTACCGGAAAGAAAGACTGTCGAGGGACTGGAAGTGGACCAGTCAGCGTGGCTAGCATCAGCAAAACACACTGGGTGATAGAAACCATAGTTCCAAGTGGACGAACCGAAAAACAAACGAAAGAAAAAAACCTTGGTGGGGTTGCCTCACCACAAGCGCTTCTTTACCGTCTTAGCTGGACGGTGGCTCCCAAGGTTCGGTCCACCCCAAAACCTCCTTGAAGTTGAGATTCTCGTCGATGATGTGGAGTCTCAAGTCACAAGCAGGTGATGTGATAGGTGATGAAGATGGCTTGTGGCCTTGAGGAAGATGAAGTCTTCACTCTTGAGACCTCTCCTTCGTGTATGCTCTTGTCTCATTGCTCCAAACCAGATAAGATATATTCGATTGACCACCATCGCATCCACCAAGAGGGATTGATGTTGATGTGGTCTTGGTCTGGCAAAGAGACACTGCAAATGGGTCCTTGCCAAGCAGCTTCTCGAAGTTTGGTGGAGATATCACATGTAACATAGGGCAGTGCAAGCCTCTTCCACCTCACCTTCATCCTCAGCCTGGACACCACTTGCTTCTTCAACCCCCCTTCCTTCTTCAGAATGTGGTCTCTCCCCTTGGAATAGATCAAGAACTCCTTCTGCTTCATTTCTGTCATCCTCCACAACTTCTTTCCTCAACCTTTCTCGCGCTTCTTCTTCTAGCACGGATTGGAGAGCAAGTCGCCTAGCAATTTCTTCGATGAGATCATCATGCATCTCCTCGCTCGGACCCATCGTGTTAGAGCAGAGATGGAGAAAGGTGTGACCTGCCACCATTGGACATTCCAGATCATGACTATCATAGGAGCTCTCCGCGACAACTTCTATATGCTCCTTAATGTCCTCATAGCCTTCGTCATCCTCCTCCTCTTCTAGTATGGTAGCAAAAAGTTGATCTTGAGCAGGTTGTGCGCAAACTTGCTCCACCCACTCTGTTTGCTTTGCTGAGCACTGAACAAACTCCTCCATTTCATGGAGAAATGAGGGATCAGAAGGGGCAAGGGCTTGGATTTGAAGATCCCTCTTGGAGCATGATCTCTCAGTGTCTCTAGCAAACTGCTCCACGAGAAGCCTCAATTGTTTGTTTGGATCTGCCAGTGGAGTGTAGCATGGCTCTGCAGAGTGGCCCGTGAAGGCCTCCATGGCTAACTCCAACTCAGATGGCCCCTCTGGTTGTAGCATGAACTCTTCTTGAAAAGGATATTGTTCTTGAGGTTCCCAAGGGTTTGGTTGTTCTCCGTAGTAGGGGGTTGGTACTGACATCCGAATCCATAGTCTTCTCCTCCTTGATTGCTCCAGGAAGTCTCGGGGTAATACCACACGGATGGTGGTTGATACCCCCAATGGTTGGAGAAGCCATGAGGATCCATGTTTCAGATCTGCACCAACAAAAACATAACACCCAAGTGAAAAGCAAGGGTGGAAAAGAAAAGAAAAAAGCTAAAGTAACAGACTTTCACGTTCCTACAATAACCTAGAGGTCCCCGGCAACGGAGCCAAAAACTTGACACGCTAAAACACAACACCAAACTGCGAACAAGTGTAATCGCAGTCTGGAAATGCAGTAAAGTGGCAAGTTCTAATTATCAACCCGGGGTCTAGATAGGGGTGGGCAACGGGACGGGACGGGGTACCCAGTCCCATTTGGAGACCAAAGTCCATCCCATATCCCAAACCCATATGGGAAACGGGTACCCATTACCCGTACGGGACAGATAACGGGTACCCATACTACCCATAAATACCCAATGTTTAAATGACATTTTACCTAAAATTAAATCGCTATCCCATACCTTCTTGGTATTCCTTTTCTTGTTCGGATTCAGGCACATCTTCTTCATCGATTAAAATTATATTGTTGTTGCTTCACAACCAATAAGCACCACAAATCAAAGCCTCAATCATCTGGGGATCCAAAGAACTTCTAAACTCATTTAGAACCCTTCCTCCTGTGCTAAAAGCCGACTCGGAAGCAACAGTTGATATTGGGATGGCCAATACATCCCGAGCAATTTCAGCCAAAACAGGAAATCGCAAACCATGAGTTGACCACCACTTAAGAATATCGAAGGAGTCCACAACTGAACCATTATCTTCTTGTTTCTTCTCCTTGAATTGACTCTCAGTCAAATAGAGTGTCAACTCAGAAACATCATTGTCGTCTCCTTCATCATCACTATCTTCTATAGCACTACACGAACCATGATTTGATAGCCTTCTTACATCAACATTAACCGTAGCCTGACTCCGAGAATGTGTAGAAGAGTCTTGAGAGTTAGAGTTCATCCTTGGACGAGGTGGAAGCAACGAATTCTTGTAATACTCAAAGAGTTCAGAAAACAACCCTTTCAATTCGGCCACCATCGAAGCTTCCCTTTCCACTCCGTACACTTTCTTCAAACATTTTTGGACATGCTTCAGTTTTTGTCGTGGATCCAAAGCCGGAGCTATGTATATGATCTTGTTTATCCTGTAGTTACCCATTGCTTCCTCCTCCCAATACTTAGCAACCTTTGACCTCATTCGTACGACCATTGATCTAACCTTAGGATCTTGATGTTTTTCCACATTAGCTATGTGATCAAATATATCACACATCTCCTTGAAGAACAAATGAGATGTCACATACGAGGTGCCAGAGACAAGATAAGTCAAATCATAGAACTTCTTCAAGTATTCCATCATCTAGCACACATTTTCCCAATCCTCCGGTCCAGGTGGACCAACAACCTCACCACGGTGCATGATTTTGTTTAACTCAGTCTCAAATGCAGGCAACATCCCTGCATAAACTGGAAAAGCAATCTCGAATGGTTCAGCGGACTCTAACATTAGAAATTTTGAGTTCCACCTTGTTGGTACATCAAGACTTAGTGATCTCTTGCACTGGATGTTCATGCTCTTGGTTGCTCTATTCCATGTCTCTTCTCTAGATGGCGAGGCAGTAATCCACCTCACAGCTTAACCCTTCTCACTGATACCCCAATCTCATCTAAGCCATCAGAAAAAACCAAATTAGTGATATGGGCTACACAACGCATGTGTAGCTATCTCCCCCCTGAGATGCTTGTCCCCCATTCTTCAAATTTCTCCCTCTTATGGCGAACAGCTACATCATTAGCCGAAGAATTATCAACTGTGCAACAAAGTACATTCTTCAAATCCCGCTCATTCAAACACGTCAGCACCGCATGTGCAATGTCCTCCCCTTTATGACTAGTGATCTTCTTGAAGCATATAATCTTCTTATGGAGCTGCCAACTTCTGGAGATGAAATGAGCTGTGATAGTTATATAATTATCATTCTTCAACGATGTCCATCAATCTGTTGTGATTGAAACCCTTCCCATGCCTTTAATTTTAAAGAAAGACTTCAAGCTATCTTTTCTCTGAATGAACAACTTTGCACAATCTGTCCTCACTATCTTCCTACTTGGGATTTTGAACATGGGGAAAACTCGAGACATGAAATGACGAAAGCCCTCCCTTTCACAAAATCTGAACGGTTGCTCGTCAAGCATAATCATTTCTGCAAAACCTAACTGTGATTCTTCTTGATTGAATCGCCAAGTTGATATTCCCCCTGCTCCGTCCCCGGAGGCACTAGGCTGCAAACTCAGAGTTGTTTGTTTAAGTTGCTCGAAATGTTTCTTATCACAAGAGATCTTATGATTCTTCAAGCCATTGGTGCCATGGGTGCTTCCAACAGCAATGGTAATTGCGCAACGATTGCATTTTTCTTTACGAACTTCAATCGGTGGGTTTCCTTCTTTAACTAATAACACCGAGAATCCGACCCAATGCAGTGATCGAAGGGCAGGTGCTTTCGCTTTTTAGACGCTGATGTATCCTTGTCACTTTCTTCACTACCAATACCCACATCGTTACTTGCTTGTTCAGTTTGAGGGGCTTCATTCCCTTGACTGGCTTCATTCCCTTGACTAGCCATGGAAACTAGAAACCAAATCAACAGAAACCAAAAAGACAGATGCTGGAAATTAGAAACCTAACTAGTAATTAGCACAAGAAATAACATTATAAAGTAACTCAATACAAAATTAGAAAGCAACCAAAGAAGGCCTGATATATATGGACATTCTGTACAACACATTCAATTCAATCACAAAGGCCTATGTATATATAGACATTCTGTACACATTCAATCTCAAACAATTAAACAGAAGATGAACATAGAAGAAAAGTAAGTAAACATAAGTACATAGCTTACTTACCAAATGCAGGTAAAACCAAGTCAGACAGAAGGAAGCCTGGCTGCTGCTGCTGGCCGCCGGGTGAGAAGAAGGAAGTCTGGTTGCTGCTGGCCATCGGGTGAGAAGAAGAAACCTGCTACTGCTGCTGCTCCGCTGGGTGAAAAGAAGGGAGAGCTCAGAGGCGGCGGCGGCGGTGAATGAAGGAGGTGCCGAGGCCCGAGGCGAGCTAGGTTTAGACCTTTCATCTCTTCTCTCTCGTCCCGCGAAGAAGACTCCTCCAGCCAGGGACAAGACACAAGACAGAGACAAACCTTTCCAAATTCCAGAGAAGTTGTCGCCTGCCGTCGCGTGTCTCGCATCTTCTAGGGCGTAGGGGTGCGTCAGCGTCTCAACTCTCACGGGCTGAATTAATTGGATTTTGTAATTTTAATTGATTTTGAATTGGGTTGGTCCTGGGCACATGGGCTGAATTATATGTCTTTGTAATTTGAATGGGTACAACGGGTACCCATATTACCCAAACGGGTATTCGCGGGTAACCCGCGGGTATCCATATTAGGACTGTACAATCCCAAGTCCCATCCGTTTAAAATATTATTACTATGGGTACCCGTAACCCTTAAAAAATGGGACAGGTACGGGTATACCAAAATACCCGTTTCCCGTTTCCCACCCCTAGGTCTAGATCTACTGCCTACTCCGTGAATATCTATTATCTAGCCAACTAAGTCGATTGATTGTGGTTTTAACTAAAAGCAGTAAGAAAGCAGGAAATGGTTCGGTTTTCTGAAGCAAAGGAAGAGTCACTCGGGAATGAGTCCCCCTAGCTCGCAAGTTAGGTCACAGTTGTAATTACTTTTGGTTGCTTTACTGCTGATTATACTGCGGAAGATCCGACAGTAGCTTGGAATCTCTTAAGCTGACCAAGCCCTCTCAGTCAAACTACCCGACAGACGACTAATCTTCATCGGGATATAACGCTGAGGCAATGAACACAGAACTCCACTACTGGAATTAGATTCTAGTACAAAGCAATTAATCGACTAACTCTCGTATGATCGATTCACTACTACCGATTGAAGAAGCTCTAACAACCTAATCAGATTCTATCTATCTCAGGTTGCAGTAGAAATCAATAAAAGATTATCAGACTTCAATTGGCTCATTCAAAACACTTCAATCGATTATAATTAAGCAATATCACAATCCAAATGTAATTACAATCAAGTTCCTAACACATGGAACTAGGGTTCTTCATACCCAAGTGAGAGAGAGTTCTACTCCATAGAGAGAGAGAGGGAAACATAATACAAAGCAGTCATACTCATAACAATGGGAAGAATATGCTCTGGGATGTCAGTCTTCACTCCTGTGATGATCTCCTAGCTCAATTTGATGAAACCCAGCTCCAAAACCACTCTTAGGGGGTGTTCTTCGCACTTTCTCTCTCTAGGGCTCTGTTTTTTGCTCCAAAAGGTCGATTCCCTCTCCTTTGTCTCGAATTTGGGTTAAAACCCAGAAATTCCCGACCACACGGCCGTGTGGCTTTCCCAGTTGCCCGTATGAGTGTGCAAAACGCCGCGTTTCACTTAAGTGGGTTCAGGTATGCTACACGGCCAAAACCACACGGCCGTGTGGCTTTCCAGGCTGCCCGTGTGAGCTCCCTGGACTTTCCATACGGCCACAAGGGGTCCCCTACACGGCTAGTGTGGCTTGCCCGTGCAATTTGGTGTCACACGGCTGTGTGGGTTTTTAGGCGTGCCCGTGTGGCTTCCTCAGCTTCTCGCCAAACGTCCAATCTTCGTCCAATCGACCCCGAACTCGTTCCGAAACCTTCATTCACGTACTAGGACCTGAAATATCACAAACAAGAACAACCTAGCGTGAAATTGGCCTAAAACACGAGAAATAAGACTCAAACGGTGTAAGAATGGTGGACAAAAACATGTGTATATATCAAGTCGTCACCTCTCTCTCTCTCTCTCCCTCTCTCTCTCTCTCTAGAAACTCACTCTTTTCTCTTGGGTGTTGTAAATCCCTAACTAATACTTTGTAATTACTTGTTTAGATTGAATGATTAAGTGTGGGTTTGCATCAATTTGAGTATTAGAGGTGTTTCAGGGTGATTGTGCATGCTCGTGCTTAGCAATCTAAGGGTTGTGCATGCTCGTGCTTAGCAATCTAAGGGTTGTGCATGTTTTGTGCTTATCATCCTTAGGTTTGTGCATTTTAGTGCTTAGCAACGTAAGGATTGTGCATAACTGTGCTTAGCACCCTTAGGTTTGTGCATGTTGGTGTTAGCAATCTAATTAGCCACCTTAACCTAGCTTAGAGAGGAAAATCCCCCTTCCAAGGGAGACTCAATCGAGTTGGTTTTCCTTCAGCTTTTTAAGCCACCTAACTAGGTTAATTTAGGGCAACCCTCAATGTTGAATTAAGCAAATCGGTTAATCGCGATTAAGCCGTCTGACCTTTGAGTTGAGTGAGGGAGTAAGTCAACTACTGATTGCCTAAATCGAGAGGGTTGAGTGACACGGCCTATAATGCTTACCTCGGTTTAGCAATTGAGATTGTGGTCTCCGAACATATATGCATCCCTCTACGGTTCGCGGTTACCTGGCCTATATCAATCGTTTCAATCCAATGAGTCACGGTACCTAGTTAGGGGGAAACAACTTCTGGGTAAAGCTCCCTTAGTTAGAATTTTCCTTTATTTATTTTCTTGGTTAGTTTGTAGTTCCAATAAACATAAACCCTAAAGTTGCTTGCTAGATAACAACCTAAGCGATTGAAGTAGGGGTACATGGATCGGCCTGGGTTGACAATTTAAATACTTGCTCTATACTGCACCCAGCTAGAGTTTAAAAACTTGGGCTCTAGTCTGGATTAATTTGTGGTGTAGTTTTGTGCGAGTCACCGGTCAATATTAACGAAAAAATAGTTCGTACCAGATTTGTCATATTGAATAGTTTAAGACACAAATGACACTTTTTGAACAGTTTGGGATTTCTAGTGGAATTAGCCCTATATTTAATAATAAAATATGTTTGATTTTCAACTTATTTCTCCATTCAAAATGCATATACTATTTGCCCCTCGTAGAACTAAAACCAAAGATACTATTATTGATCCTTATGCACCATGAAAAATTATTATAAATTTGCTATTTGGCTAAAAAAAACTCTTAATATAAGCGAAGGGACTATATCATTGGTGTGGAGCTTAGCTTTCTATTTTATTTTATTTTTAACCACCTTGAAGTTGATAGTTCTTTGTTTGGGATATACTTTCACTTTTCGACATAAAAATAAAAGAACACTGACATGTTCTTAAAGAAGGTCCAGAATGAAAGATTTCACATGTTTGGTAACTATGCATCCACGAAATATACATGGTTTAGGCAAAAATGAAAGAAAAAATTTGCATATCATGATCCAATTTATATTCCCAAAGTATACATGTTTCGGCAGTGAAAATAATTTCTTTCGTTTATTTCCTGAAGCAATTGTTTTGTGTTTCATATTGATGCCCTTCACTTTATCATTTAGCTTCTAGAGTAAATCATACTGAGTATAAGCAGCTTACAAGAAGCTTGTTGTATGTAAGAGCCACCAGGCCATACGTTATGTTTTCTATGTGTCTTATGAGCATGTTAATGGAAGCACCAACAAGTAGTAATAGCAATGAGGCGGGGAGGGTAGCTCAATACCCATACCCGCCTCGTACCAATCTCGGGTCGAGATGGGTAATACCCGCGTGGGTATGGGGCGGGGCAGATCGACCCACCCTTACATGTTAGTTGAAAAATATACACTTAACTTTTTATGATAAACTAAAGAGAAAACACTCAACAAATAAAAAATAGTGATAATATAATAGGCAATTGAGTCTAACTAGTTGAAAGATCAAGTCTAACTAGTTGGGAAAAGTCAAAATAGGATAAATATGAGTAGATATTATAAAACATTGAGATAGAATAAGACAAGAACAGAGCAGGACGTGACAAGACAGGTCAAAAATAGATACCCAAGCCCTGACCCAATACTATTGTGGGTTGGATAATACTTGGCGCATCGTGGGTCAGGTCGGGTAATGTTCGACATGGGGGAGGGGGGAAAATTGCCATCCCTACCATCAAGGCAACATCTGTTAGCTTCAAAGAGGGTACTGAGGTGCTTAAAAGGAACCATGACTCATGACATCTGGTACAAGGAATGAAGGAAGAAGAGCCTCTACTAGGGTATACAGACAGTGACTATGCAATGGATTGGATGACAGGAAGAGCACAAGTGGTTATACATTCGTCCTAGCTGATGGAGTAGTATCATGAGCATCAAAGAAACAACCGCCTATTGTCACATTGTCTACAACAAAAATACAGTTTGTGTCACACCTAAGGCGAATCCCGCATTGACAAAGCACGGGAGAGATCCATGGTTCATAAGTAAGAAACCGACCTTAACTGACAAGACGCGTTTTGGGGTGAAATGGAAGAGTTCTTGTGAGAACTCCAAAGTTAAACATGCTCAGTGTGGAGTACAACAAGGATGGGTGACCTTATGGGAAGTCACCTTGAATTGCACCCCAAGGCAAAAACCGTGAGGGTGGAGGCCCAAAGCGGAAAATATCTTGCTCAGGAAAAGGTTCGGGATGTTACAAGTGGTATCAGAGCCTCTTCACGTCCCTCTTGAACGATGGTGGGGCAAACCTCAACGAGGGCGTTGAGTCCCAAGGGGGAGTTGAATTGCACCCCAAGGCAAAAACCGTGAGGGTGGAGGCCGTAAGCGGACAATATCTTGCTCAGGAAAAGGTTCGGGATGTTACAAGTGGTATCAGAGCCTCTTCACGTCCCTCTTGAACGATGGTGGGGCAAAACTCAACGAGGGCGTTGATTCCCAAAGGATTTGGCAAAAGAAGGATTGATCGAGTTAGAGTGTAGTGGAACACATGAGCAGGTTTGTAGATATAATGACCAAACCATTAAAGTTGGAGATCTTTTAACTGTTGAGGAGCATATTTGAAATTTGTGATGTTATTGTATTTGCTGAAGTCAAGGAGTGATAAACTTAAGGAAATGAAGAGACTTCAATTCATGAGAGGATGTTAGAGAAGAAGAAGAAGAAGAAAAAGAAGAATAACTGGAGGTTGAACCCATGTTGCTATGGACGAAGGTGGTTTGGCCTGAGATTCACATTTGAAGTTGAAGAAGTGTTGTTGTTCCATTTTGGTCAATTAGTCTTTCGGTCATTTTAGTTTGTTAAAGTGTGAGTTGAGTCCAAAATCATGTCTTAGGCTGCTAGGTGTTAAGCAGCTTACTTAGTTGATTAGTGGAGGGGTTGTTAGATATCTTTCAAGTTAG